GAGAAGGGGGACCGGGCTCCCCTGCATCACCCGAGAGGGGGGACCTGGACCTCCTGCATCACCCAGAGAGGGGGGACCTGGATCTCTTGCATCACCCAGAGAGGGGGAAGCAGGCTCTCCTGCATCACCCAGAGAAGGGGGACCTGGACCTCCTGCATCACCCGGAGAGGGGGAAGCAGGCTCTCCTGTATCACCCAGAGAAGGGGGATCTGGATCTCCTGCATCACCCTGAAGGGGAGGGCTCATGTTCATGCACCAGCTTGGAGACAGCAGTGGCTGAGGCTTGTGGGCTCGCTCCTCAGCCCTGTCTTCTACACTGCACTTCACAGGGGATAAGCCATACCACAGACAGAGCAAGCCGATTCAACCCCCTAGCCTTGCAACCCCCCGGGCCTGTGTTACCCCATTGAGCGGAGAGATGGTCTTGGCCAGAGCTAGTTGGCACCTAAGACCCTGTGGGGCACCCTGAACCAATCCGGACTTCGCTTTCCTGTCCCTTAGTCTCTTCCTGAACTTCTTACAGGGCTAATGTCTTATAACTCTCTTAACAGCTCTCATTCTAGCTGGACCAGAAAAGCCCACAGCATTCTTTATATATATATTTAAAAAAACAACAACTTTGGGGAGCCTCAGTCAGTTACGCATCTGACTCTTGATCTCAGCTCAGATCTTGGTCTCAGGGTCATGAGTTCAAGTCCCGTTTTGGGCTCCACATTGGGTGTGGAGCCTACTTTTAATTTAAAAAATAAAACAACTTTATTAGGTATATTTTATGTATAATAAAACTCACTCATTTCAAGTATATAATTAAGTGGATTTTAGCAACTTTACCAAGCGGTCCGACCATAACCATAGGTCAGTTTTAGAACATTTCTATCCCTCCAGAAAGACCCCTCCTACCCTTGGCAACCACCTGTGTGCTTTCTGTCCTGGATCATTCATACAAATGGAATCAAGACACTATGGGGTCCTTTGTGTCTGACTTCTTTCACTCAGCACAACTGCTTTTGAGATTCACCCCTGACTTCTCCTGGGTCAGAGTGTCATTCCTTCCATGGGTCTCACCCCACTGTGTGGTGGACCACATTTTGTCTGTCCCTTCACCAGCTGATTGGTTACAACTGCACAGTATCCTTGAGAATGAATTTTTTCATGTATGTTCAAATATTTTCTAGAATACATCAGCACCATTGGTAAAATTTTGGGGTTCCCAAGTGTTCTAATGTTTTAATTCTACACTGACCTCAAGCTTCCTCACATGGATGGGGGGAGCAAACAACACATTCATGTGCTCTTTTCTTATTAGAAGTCTTCCTAGTTGAGGAGGTCATTCATGTGGCCTTTTCCTGAATTCAGCTTGCAGACTGTGGGACAGTGAAAGGAGAGGTCTGAGGTCCTGGGGGCTACGGTATTAAAATGGCTAGGAATAAAAAGAGTACCCTCATGTGGCTAATCAAGAAACAGGTGCTCACTTGCCGCTGGCTGAATGAATATGATATTCTTGAAATAAACTGAAATGTCACATTTAGTGTTTTGAAATTAGGTTGATTTTACGTTCAAAGAAGAGACAAAACAAAGTCTCAGGAGCTGGAGCAAACTGGAACAGAGGAAAGCAAGTTCGAACAGAAAAGGAGCTGGAACAGAGGAGAACCAGATGGAACAGGAGGAGTAGCTGGAACAGAGGAGGAGCACCTGGAACAGAGGAGAACCAGGTAGAACAGGAGGAGTAGCTGGAACAGAGGAGAACCAGATAGACCAGGGGCAGTAGCTGGAACAGAGGAGGAGCACCTGGAACAGAGGAGAACTAGACAGAATGGCAGCATCTGGAACAGAGGAAGAGTGACTGGAACAGAGGAGGAGCACCTGGAACAGGAGAGGAGAACCAAGTGGAACAGGAGTGGCAGCTGGAACAGAGAAACAATGTTTGTGCTGTGGACAAGTGAGTGTGCTAATCGTTACTTGTTCAACTTAGGTCTCAGCAGGATGTTCCAGCTGAGGCATTTTCCTATGTTGATGAGGACATGAGTTCTAGGGCCACACCACAAACTGCACTCCAGGGACAAGTGTGTGTCCAGGTAGCAAGGATGGAGGAGAATGCCTGTACCAACAAGCCACTGGCTACTCACTGGGTGACCAATGATCGAGGCCCTTCTGCCCAGGCCTCTGGTGCCACTGCCCAGCTTCTCGTGGGTGGAAGCAGTGTCTTCTTATCCACAGGCTCCCTCTTCCACGGCTCTGGACGATCCACAGGAGGGGACAGGTGGAGGAAGGGAAAGAGTGCTCTCAGGAAGGGCACTCCCCATTCAGGTGAGGGAAACGAGCCTTCTCTCCCCACCAACCCTCCGTGCTAACTCACGCATAGTCTCTGGAGCTGAGGCAGAGCCCGCCGGGGACCCCAGAGAAAAGGCTGCTTGAGAACAGCACGTCTCTGACAAGACTGGCATCTGCAGGGGGTGCTCTGTGATGCACAGGGAGCCAGCGGGCCAAACCTGGCTTCCACTTGGCAACACTGGTTTGTGTGAGCCAAACCCACTGCCTCCATGACTGCCAGGGATCCTGCCTGCAGTGGAACATGTGTGTCCCATACTGCCACACTGCCCAGGGACGCTGTGCCTGAATGTCCACGGACGGCATCTGCACAGGTGGCAGTTCTCTGTAGAGACACGTACTTAAGGCTGACCCCTTGCTGAGATGAGCTGCAGACATGAGTTTTCACATCCAGCGTGTGTGTGACTGTGGTTTAGGCCCTGGAAACAATGTTCGGGGAGTTGTTGCTGTATTCTAATTTTAACTGAACTGCAGGGAGGCAGTAGAATGTTCTTAAAAAGTGCTAACCCTAAGCCAATAATTTTATTGTAAAACTTTTTGTGGTAAGTCGGTGTGTGCTCTATGCTGTACGGACCCTGTCAGAATTTCAGACAGGAGCAGGCACCCTCATTTTGGAAGCAGCAGGCCCATCCAGAGGTGTGAGCAAGTCCCTCCTTGGGCCAGGTGGGCGGGCCAGATGTTGCCCAGGTGAGGAAGCCACAGTTTCTTCACTGTGTCGGATGCTGGGGCTAGCCTGCCTTCTGAGGGTTCCTGTTCTTCACTTCCTCCAAAATCACTGCTTTTGTTCTTCACAGAACATTTCTTTATTCAAAAACAGGAAATATTTGACCTAAGAAATATGCTGTCATTCCTTCCATTGAATTCTTGATGTCCTGCCAACACTCTTTAGACAATCATGTTTTCCCTCCAGAGCAATATGGGAGACACTTCCAGTAGTTAGGAAATAGTTCAGCACGTTTTGCAGGCCGTTGAGGTGTGTGTAACTCAGGGGCTGGTGTTAATAACCATGAGCATAGCATCCAACTGACCCATAGGAAAGGAGTATTAATGCAATGTGGTGGGGTGAGTGGTGACCCCAAAAGGACAGGTCTACCCAGAACCTGTGAATATCACCGTACTTGGAAAAGGGTCTTCGCAGATGTGAATACTGAAGCGTTCGGTGGACGCTGAATCCAAAGAGAGGTGTTCTTGTAAGAGAAAGGAAGGTGTGACACACAGAGAGACACGGGGAGAAGATGTTTGGACAGGGGGAGCCCCCTGCCGCTGGAAGGACCCTCCCCTAGAGCTTCTGAAGGGAGCACAGCCCTGCCAATTTCTTGATGTCATACTTCTAGGTCATACTGGCCCCAGGACCAATGGGATAAATGTCCAAAGTCACCCTGTCTGTGGTATTTGCTGTGGCAGTCACAGGAACGGAGCCCATGTGACCATTATTTTCAGCAGTCGATACGGATGTGGACACAGGCTTCTCCTCGGTCCACTGACCAGAGGAAAGACACACCATGGCAAGGAGAAGGCAGGAGGGGAAGGAGTGGGGGAGGGGCATGGGGAGAGGGTTGGGCAGGAGCAGGAAGGGTCGGGGCGGGACATTACCTGGACTCTCCGCTGTGGTGCAGGGGTTGCAGCTGGAGCCTGCACTTCTGGCCCCCTCAGCTTGTCCTCCTAAGGGGCCTCCCGGACTGGTGCTGACTGAGTGGTGGGAGGCCTGCCGGCTGTCACCTCGCCAGCTCCTGAGGGACCTGTCCCAGGACCGAGACCTCTGGGGAAGAGTGCTCCTTGTGGCTCCCGGACATTTTTCCTGACTTGGGATCTCTACGGAGCCTCCCCAGGGGCTGGGCGTTTCCTTCTGGGTTGGGCTGGCTGCTGCCCTGGCCGCCGCGGTCTGGGAGCTGCAGGCCTCGTCCCCAAGAGACTCTTCGGAACTGGAGCCCAGGGGCATGGGGTTCCGCAGGGCCTCCATGTAGGACTTCCTGAACCAACGTCTGGCCTCCATGCTGGCTGAGTCCCTGGGCAACTGCCTTCTGGAGCTTGGACTGCCCATGTCCTCACAGACAGTGAGGGCCTGGGGGCTGTCCCTTTTGTCTGTGGCATCCAGGCTCCCTGTTGGTCCTTCCCGTGGGCCCAGCTCTGAGGGCCCAACCCTGACAAGGCCTCCATCGGAGCTCCCAAATGGGATCCTAGGGCCTTCCCACCCAGCTCTTCCTGGGGAAGGTTGGTGGCTGGGCTGGTCACTGCCAGGATGCCTATGGCAGTGGGGCAGGGTTGGGGTGTTGCTGGAAGGGGTGGTCTCCTGGGGACGGGTGTTGGCCACGGCTGGTGCTGGGGCCAGAGCTTTGGAGATGCTTTTGGGGGGTGGCTGCTCAGGCCCAGGACAGCTGCAGTGGGGCAGGATAGTTCTGAATGTCGGTACAAAGATGGGGTCTGTGACACTGCTCCATGGGGTGTGGAAGACCGCAGAGCCTGAGGTCAGCAAGCAGTTTTGTAAGGGGACACCGTTCCGCTCCCCGTTCAGCCATTCCAGGAACTCTCCCGTGAAGACGCAGCCGTACATGGCCTCAGGGACAGTGACTTCTTCTGAGCCTCGTCCACTCTGGGAGAGGCATTTTAAAACCAATCTGGCTGACTGCTTCCCCACTGATGTGACCTGCAGGTAGAAGTCCCCAGGCCTGAGCCTGACTCCACGGAGGGACGCCAACTGCACCACCACCTTCTCATCGATGCACAGTGGCCAACCTTCATGGAAGAAGATGAGGCCTGTGTACCTGGCCTGGGACGAGAGAGGGAGGGAAGGAGATGAGACCTCTGTGGTGGTTCCTCCCGAGAGGACCGGGGGAGGTAGGCGATAGGACTGGGGGGGGGGGGAGTCCATGGAAGGGGCTGTCCGGGCAGCCTGGGGGCTCTGGGGAGAGTCTCTCCTAGGAACGGTCCCCACCTGGGGAATGGGCTGGGCCTTCACCCTCCCTCCACACCAGCCCTTAGGCTGAGCTCCACAGCACTTCTGGTTTTCCCAGGCACCCACAGGCAGCCCCCCAAGAGGAGGGCTACTTCTGGAATCACAGGGTCAGGGGGCACCATGAGAGGATGGCGGGGTCTGTCTGGACACTAACAATATCGGCTGCAGGCTCCCACCCAAGGCAATAGGGGCCTTCTACTAACGTGAAGGGGCCCATGAAGTCTGCAACTCGGGTGTAGATTATGTGGGGGAGTTGTGAAGCACATCTTTGAAAAGAACCTGCTGTAGAAGAGGTTTAGACTGCAGGACGGCTAAGGACACAGGCAAACACAAGCAGCGTCTGGCATGGGCATGAGAATGCCCAGCAGTTTGAGGAACAAGAGGTGGGACCCCGACATGTCAGAAGCGGCAGCTGCAGATCCTAACATGGGACCACGTCCTACCGTACCAGTTCAGTTACCGTATACCTTGCTTCTCTCCACTCTAGCACTGACTTATTGCACAAACATTCTTATAGTGACAGAGGAAATGAAAAAGAACCTCATTCAGATACATCTCAAGATCTGTGACTTTTCTTTCCCTTATCCATGCAAGACAGACTGCTCTAACCCACAGTACCAATGTAGACACAACTTGGGTGTTCAGCCAGCATTTCCCCAGGTTCCTCTCTCATTCTTGCTGTCCTAGTGGCGACTTGCCAGTCCTCTGTGGTCAGAGATCTATTGTGCTTCTATCTCTTTCTATTATAAATAGTAGATGCAAGCAATGTTTCACTTTCTTTTGTTACCATTTCTTTTTCCTTTAAATTATTGTTTTAGGAAACATTCCTGGGATTAGGGTTAAGGATAAAAGATCATGAACGTCTTCCATGATTCTTGGCAAAATGACAAATCTGCCATCAAAAGACACACTGCCAGCAGTGATGAGCCACTGTGACAGTTTTGCCAGGATTCAGTGGCATGAGGCTTTACACTGAGGAATCTTACCCTAAATACACACACACACACACACACACACACACACACACACACACACACGCTGTGGAACACTGTTGTTTTAAATCACACCTATGTGTTCATGAAGCCAACCCCTTTTTCGATATTTGTTTCTTTTCTGTAAAATTTCTGTATTTTTGTTCCTTTTATGAACTGTGGCCTTGTTTTTGCCTTCTTAGTGCTGTGAGGTTTTTAAAAACTTGAACAAGACAATAATTTTTGCCCTCACCATTAGCAAATGTTTGTCTGTGTTATGTATCTACTAGCTGCTTATGTTTGTCCCAGTTTACTTGCTTTTTAGTTATGTTCCTTTCCTCTCTTAAATTTCAAACAAGTTGAATTTCTTGACTTTTTTGTGATATCTTTTCTCTCCTTAAAACTTAGAGTTTAAAATCTTACTGAAGGTTGTCTTTTGCATTTATTTTATATTAGTTTTCCTCAGAGTTGAGGTCTAGAAAATACTTAATGTTTTCATACATCTGGATTTGGAAATTGTACCTAAAATACACTGGTATGTTCCTAAGAGCCAAGGCCTCATGAATGGGGTTCCCGCTATGCACTCGTCCTGGGCCACAGGAAGGGGGCACCGTCCAGCCTTCCAGGAGCCCACAGCCTGGGCTGGGGGTAGGGTCTGGCACAAATGAAGCTAGTATTTACTGGGCACCTGTGGCCACGCTTAATTAAAAATTAAGATTTTCAAATTGGAAAAATAATACCTGTGCATTGCAAAACCTGGAGGATTCAGAAAGAAAGAAAATAATAATCCCAACACCAACCCCCAGAAGTCAGCATTGTTAACATCTATGTGTGTTTCATTTCATTATTTTTCCAGTGTATTTCTAATGGTTGAGATCCCATCGTAAAAATACAACAGCATTTTCTGTGGTATGAGAAACTCTTCACACAGACCATTGTTAGAAACGCCCCCCCCCCAATTTTGCTCTAATTAAAATACCAAGCCCATCATTGGGCCTGGAGCCCCACCTGGGTGTCAGATGCTTTTGCAGAATCTGAGGCCACGGAAGTTGAAGGGTGTGGCCATGTGGGGCCCCGTGAAGCCCCATGGGGGCGCACAGGTGTGGCCAGTGTCCTTGCTGCATGGTCAGCGCCCACCCCACACTGGACATGAAGATCCAGGAATCGTCCAGCCCTGTGGTCAGCAGCAGTGAGAATCCCAAGGGCCACCAGAGAGAGAAGTTCAACCTGAGCTGTGGCCTAAAGGTGTGCAGGGGGATCAGCAGCGTGAGCCCCAGGAATGAGCTTCATGACAGAAAGTTCTGGAAGCAGAGGGTCCGAGGCCAACGGTCATTGGGAGGGGCCCCCTTCCTGGGGGTCTGTGCAGACTCAGGGTGGAGAGTGTGGGAGGACTGTGTAGCTCTCACACCTCAGCTCTGGCACTCCCCATCCTGGCCTGAAAACCGCTCTACCACCCAGATCCCAAAGGGCACAGTTGGGATCTGACTTTAACCAACACTGACTGGGTGCCAACAACATGCTCAGCACTTTGCATGCATCACGGCATTGAACCCTTACCCCACAAGATGATCTGCTGGTGGGACTCACGGGCCGCAGGTAACAAGATGCCTGGTGACTCTTGGCTAAGCGATGGAGAGGATGAATTCTCCCCCTGCAAAATGTGAAGGAGACAAGCCCCATGGTCTGAGCAGAGGCTCAGTGACACCTTTGAGAACCGGGTGCTCTCTATTTCAGAGCCCTTTATGTGCATGTGTTTCATCCTGAGGCTGGTCACCCCATGGGCATGGCGATGGTGGCCCCAGCCTAATGATCTCATCTTTATACACAGTGTCCCAAGCAGGGAAAAGTGCCTTCATGTGTCTTTCCTTTCCAAGGGGAACATGTTCTCATGAACATTTCACCCCAGCAGACTTCTATCTCTCATTGGCAATAAGGGAGTGAGGGATTGCCCCTGTTTACAAGGCATGCTGGGCAAGTGGATGACTCCAAGGGTCAGGAGTGACCATACGCTACAGTTAAGTGTCTGCTGCAGGTGGGTACTATTACTACCCTCCACTACAGATGAACAAAATCAAGGATCAGAGCGATGGCTGGTGTAGGTCTTTACAGTTGGTAGTGGTAGAGCAGGGACCCCACATCTCTCCTCCTGCAGAGCCTGTGGTTTTAACTCCTGTCCGGTACCACCTGGCAGGGACACCCAGACAGCCATAACGCAGGCTGACAAGTGGGGAGCACCAAGTGCTGTGAGGACACAGAGGACAGAGATTCTGCTGAGGCCAGGGGGAGTGAGCTGGAGAGGAGAGCACCGGTTATCCTGGCCTTTGAAAGGCAGCAGGACTCCAGCCAGGTGCAAGGGAAATGGAATGGGGAGGGTGGGCCCCAGGATGAATGAACATAGACAATGGGACAGTGCATGGATTAATCAAGGCTCTCTGGGTTGTAAGATGAATTTGTCTTGGGTCACTGGGAAGGCTGGAGGAGAGGAGCTTCAGACCCAGCCCAAGTAGGGGGCTCAAATGTGTCACTGGCGCCCTGTTTCTCTCCCTTGTTCCACTTGGCTTCACTATGCAGACAGGCTGGGTTAAGGTGAAAATCCTCCTGATACATAAAGCAAGTAGAAAGAGGATTTCTTGTCTGCAACATCTTTATACAAGCCCAGGTAAGACTCTAACTGGGTGTCTCAGTCCATTCAAATTTCTGTAACAAAAATACCATAGATTGGGTAGCTTATAAACATAGAAATTTCCTTCTCACTCTCTGGGGGCCTGGGGAATCCAGGATCAAGGTGTTGGCAGGTGTGTTGTCTGGTCAGGGCCAGCTTCCTGGTTCAAAGATGACCAGGTTTTTGCGGTGTCTTCACACCTGGCAGAAGGAGCAAGGGTGCCTTCTGAGACTTCCTTTATAAAGGCATGAATGGTATTGACTGAATCACTTCCCAAAGGTCCCACTTCTTAATACCATCACATTGGAAGTGAAGTTTCAATACACAAATTTTGTGGGGGACACATTCAGTCTGTAGCAGTAGATCATGTGCCCATCCCTGAAGGTGGTGTCTGACAGTGGGATAGAACACAGAGAGCCACAGTCTTGCCAGGACGGTGAAGCAGCATGGCATGATGGTGGAGAGGTACCTACTGAATGATAAGGCAGAGGTTCAGGGCACACAATATATATCACCAGTACATGTACGATCTGTAATTGGTGCCTTCCACTTCTGTACTTTAGTTTCATCTGAAAAATGGGACTAATATGATCATCCCTACTCATACATAAGGTCTGGGGCAGATTCCACATAAGAAGCATTTCCCTAATGATTGGTGAAGTTGAGCATCTTTTCATTTGCTTATTGGCCATTTGTATATGTTAGGAAGGTCATGGAAAAGACACAACCACCAGTTGACTTGTAAGCTGGATCCGGGCTCTTGGAAGCTCCTCACCTACTTCCCCTGTCCCTGGATGTGGGTGCTGCTTGCCTTTCCCACTACCAGAGGCTGCTTCAAGAACACAGACTTGAGACAGGGACGCGGTGCATGGTATATGTGACTGAGCCTGGTTGAGGCCTCCATAAAAACTTATATGATTTCGTGGGCAGAGGTGGGTTCTATCCATCTTGTTGCTTTGTATGTAAGTTCCTTTTGTTTATTAAAACCACCACCCGCCAATCTGGAGCAGCCGCCTCTTTCTTCAGTCTCTTCCTGCCCTCTGAGTACAAGGGCCAGTTTCAGGTTACACCTGGAAAGCTCCCAAGAGTGCTGTGGACCAACAATATCTCCTTTGGAGAAATATCCATTCAAATCCTTTGTCCATCTCTAACTTGGGTTTGTTGTTGTTATTGTTGAATTT